CGACCAAAAACATACACGCCTATTTCAAAGGAAGACGAATTACGACCGTTACACAGCGTAGGCCAGATCGAAGTGACAGACTCGCCATATTACACTATAACACTATTATTAAAACTAAAGATTAGAAGATAATAATTAACTTTATTACTAAAATAATATTAAAATAATATTAATCTTTTATTATTTGTATTTAGTATTAATCCTTTATTTTAAAACTTATTATTAGAACTATAAACTGAAAAATAACAATTAATCTTATTTATTAGAATAGTTTTGGAGAATATGTTTGATTTTAAGATAGTCTAAAATTAATAGTTAATAAGAAGAAAATTTTAGATATAAAATTGTAATTTGTTAAGAAGAATGTTAAATATAAAGTGAAGTTGAAATTTTTTTATAGATATTATTATCTAATTTTGCACAATTGACTTATATTATTAAGGAGTAAACAAGAAATTTTTATTGTTATTATTAGTTTATTTACAAGAGTAACTAGACTTTCTAATCTTAATATATTATCCTATTAGATTCTTTAATTATTAATATAATATCTATAACTAATCTAGTTTATTGTTAACTATATTGATATTGATTGTTATTTCTTTTTAAATACTATAAGATACAATTCCTTAAGTATTTCTAGATAATAATAATTGTATAGTAGTTTTTTGAATGTATTTAATTTAACCATTAATTAATAAATAATATTAAATTGAGTAATAATAATTATATTGATTTTTTAAAGAAAATAAATTATTTATTCTTTTTTTAAAGAGTTATTAAAGAAAAAAAAATTTTTGAAATTCGTATTTTGAAAAAAAAAAGTCAATTGATTAGAGAAGTAATATTATAAAAAATAAATTTTTTTAAAAAAAGAAAAATTTAGAATGAAAAATTTTTAAGGAAAAGAAAAAACCTGGCTTTAATAAAAAAAAAGAAAGAATATAAAGTATAAAAAAAATATGTATGTAGAAGAAAAAAAATAAAATAGAAAAAAAATATATAAAAATATAAATAAAATAAAATAATAAAAAATAATAAAAAAATAAAAAGATATAAAGAAAATAAAATAAAATAAAATAAAATAATAAAAAATAAAAAAATAAACAGCTTAAAAAAGAGTTTTTTATTTTTAAAACTTATTATAAAAATAAAATAAAATTAATATATAATAATCTTTTTAAAAAAATAAGTAAAAACAATAAATTAAAGAAATTATTTTTGAATATATTATTTAAAAAAAATTAATTATAAATTAAAAAAGTTTTTAATATAAATTTAATTAATTTTATTAATTAAATTAATAAAAAAAAATTAAAAAAATTAAAAAAATTAAAAAAATTAAAAATAATTATATTTCAGATAATAAAAGGATTATATAAGCTTTAAAAATTAAAAATAATTATATTTCAGATAATAAAAGAATTATATAAGCTTTAAAAATTAAAAATAAATTTTAATAATAAAAAAAAAGTAAAAATATTAACAAAAATAAAAAAATAAAAAGCAAAAAACATTAAATAATATTTAATACAATTTTGAAAATTGGAATTGAACAGAATTATATAAAATTATATAATATTTAAAATATTAATAAAAATAATAATAAGGTATGTTCTATCTATTAAATTTAATATAAACTTAAAAATTAAATATTAAAAAAAATTATTAGATTTTTAATATTTAAACAAAAAATATATTATAATAAAAATTTATAATAGAAAAAACAAATAAAATAAAAAAATAACACCATCATCAAAATCAGAAGCAACAAAAAATTTTTCAATCAGTACTCGAATACCCAAGAAGAATGGTCAAAATCAACTTTTCCTCACTATCTCAGAGAATAAATCGAAGTATACAATAGAAATCCATAGAAATTATATATACCAAACCTAAATCCAAACCAATATCAATCAGAACCATTCAATGAAACAATCTCCCACTACACTTTTCTGAAAATCTTTTAATCAACAACACTTGCCTAGGCAGTAATGTCAGATGGTACAAGAAAATTTTCAGCATCACCAGAGACTATATGATATGTGAAAGCTTCTCAGTCATTCAAACATTCAGACGAACACATATCCCGCATGGTCTAAAAGTCATCAACCAATCCAACAAAAACATCAAAAAATTCCACAACAACAAGTACAGCACCCTAGTAGCTTTTAAAGTTAAACTATTCTCAAGAACTCTCCCAACTCGCCTTATACTCCATCAACTATATTTTAACCAATATCCAGACACTCTATGTTCACGATGTGAGCTCTGTACTGAAGATATTTAACATGTTTTCAAATGTCCAGAAGCACTGTAAGCAACGGAACAAATCATAAAAACTATTAACCAAACACTCCATCCAGACAATAATCATAAACCAATCTCTCATATATGGCAAGCTGTCGAATTGTCATGTGGAATCACAGACAAAATCTTCTCCACCTCAACCTCTACCAACTGGATCAAGGCAGCAACAAAATCTTTAACCCTGTTGCATAATCTAATTTGGAAACCACATTGCTTTATAGCCAACACTTCACCTCTTACTGGAATTAAGTGGAACCATGCGAAGTCATATAATTCAATCAACTCCACCAATCCAGAAGTCAAAAAAATCTCACAAACTGAAGACAACTTCAACAACCCGCAAGAAAACATTATCATTGACCTATCTTCTACTGTTGCTAATTCATTCATCCAATCTAAATATAATTACTCCAAATGTATTTATAGCTTAACAACTTTATCTGCTAATATTAACTTGATTTCCCCTGATGCTAAGTAGGTATTCATAGTTGTTTGATGCCATCCGGCAAGATATATTGTTTTAAACTTTCTTTTCAATATTAGTCGTATGGTTACTGTAGGTAAGCTAGCATTTAACTAATTGTACCAACATATGAGAGATGTTGTTTCTTTCACGATGTATACCATGCTATATACAAATCAAATAAAGAAATGATGTTTACCTATAAAAAAATAAAATAAAATAAAATAAAATAAAAAAATATATATATAGTTATTTTTAATTTTTATTATTTATATAATAATAATATTAATAAAACCTTGACATATTAAATAATAGCCACCAACTCTTTTTTTTTTTTGAAAAAGCAGAAAGCTATTATACTTTATTTTATTATTATAATTTTAGACTTGCAGTATAAGATTTATAACATATTTACAGTATAACATATATCTCTCTTTGTTAGAAAAAGTTAAATGTAAGGTTTTGCAAATACAGTTTATTTTCTGTATTCCTTAGTACTATTCAAAAATATAAAAAAAAGAAGTTCAAAATCTATATTATTTCTTGAATAGCATCTAGCTACTTAGAGAAAAGTAAATACCTAATCACATGAAGGTGCTGCAACCATTATATACAGGTTGGCCTCCAAGTTATAACTAGGATTGGCAAGCTTGCTTTTCAAATATGGCTTAATATATGACAAATCAAATGTGTTCCATCTTATATTTTACCTGAATAACTTACTCAATTAGTTAAATAGTTACTACTCTGACTTGGACATTTAGTGAAAATTAGCCTTTCATCTGATTACCTAGTATTTGATTTTTTCTACCCTTCTAAAATTGTGACAGATTACAGATTGACCAGGCCTGTGATAGTTACCTACATCTGTAATAAGTAGGGAAGGGGATATCCACTCTTCATAAAAAGCTTTATATGTATAGTCGCACTATTTAAATATTTGAGTAAAATCTAGTTCAAGTATAAAGCAAGAGGAGGTTGAAGAAGAGTATTTGAATGTGTAGTAGTAGTCACTAACTCTTTTATCCAATATAATTATAATTATTTCAAATATATTTAAAATCTAACTTTATTTTTATCAAATACTATTTCTTCTAATATTAAGTAGATATTTATAGCTATTTGGTATCATATAATAAGATATATTATTTCAAACTTTTTTTTTAATATTAATTATATGATTACTATAAGCAAGTTAATATTTAATTTATTATATTAATATATAAAAAATATTGTTTCTTTTATAATATATATCTTGTCATATACAATACAATCCAAATAAAAAAATAATATTTATTTATAAAAAAAAAAAAAAAAATCTTGACATATTAGCTTTAACATATACTTTAGAATAAATCAATAGCAACAAGCTAATATAAAACAATTTAATATAATACAATAAGTATTTAAAATAATTTATAAATAATAATTCTTATAAAGAAATACAAATATAAACCAAATAAAATATATTAAACCAGATCTGGCTAGTTGAAAAAAAAAATATATATATATATACCTATTGTATTAATTTAAAAAATATTTTTTTTTTTTCAATATAAATTAAATAATTGTTGTAAGTAAGTTGATCTTATATAACTATTGTATTAATTTAAAGAATATTTTTTTTTCAATATAAATTAAATGATTATTGTAAGCAAGTTAATATATATTGTAATATACTGTAAAAAAAAAAATAGTTGATTTTAATAAATACATTGATATTCCGAAATATTATTTTTTAATACTTATTACACTTATTAATAAAGATTGAAACAAAGAATTGTAAAACTTTTATACATACAAGATTCTGGTTGGCATCATTGTTTTGCGCCACAGATCAACAAAACATTCAAAATTCGAAAATTGCGCCCATCGGTTAGGTCTAGTGCATTTTTTTTTCCCAACTCAATGCATTATTCATTTTCAATAAATAAGCGTGACAGCAAACAATTTCGTCTTACCAACCTACCCCATAATAATGCAACGCTTCTTTTGTTTACATTGTTCACGTGAAACCGTGATCTTCCTGTGCTACATTTCAGAGATTTTATATATAGTCAGCATTTAAGTTCAGCGATTTGTTCACAAGTTTCTGGCGAAATTTGAAATTTTAATCTTTATTTAAATTATTCGGTCACCTACATAATTTTTAAATTGTAAAGTGATCACGCACAGTATTCATTATAAAATTAATGTTTAATAAGGAGTATTCTTCCTGGTGTAAAAAATGACAGCAACAAAAGTTCTCAAAGATCTTTCGATAATCTTGGAATTAACAATATTGCCCAATAGTAACCCTGTCTCTTACAACTTTCAAGTTAAAAAGGGACAAATGCTACTAGATATTGTTAGGAATTTTATGATGGAGCATAATATTCCCTGCTATTTGGAAATCTCGGTAATGTCAACTATCGAATCATTGATGCGAGAGAGTTGGCGTCGGGATATGGAGATGGACTCGAAAAGTAAGTTGTATTCCAAACATAAGACAATTCTTAAAGATCCGTTTCACTGATTTATATCAGAATTCAGCTTTGAATTAACACGTGAGAATTTCCTCTGATAATCTGCATAGTTCCTGATGAAGCGGAGGCAAAAAGAATCCGATCAGAGCTCGTGGCAAAATATCAGAAACATACAACTCGTTTTAATGATTCCCCTTCGGAGGTGTGAACAATAATGTTTAAATGAAACGCGCACATTTTTCTAAGAATATTTTTATTAATGTGATTAACATGATTATTTCCTTATTGCGCAATTAATATCAATGATAGGATGTCTTTCCCAAGGCTTATCATACACTGGTACATTCTCCGGTGCCATCTATTTTTGACGCTTTGTTGCAATTTGAGCAAAATTGTAAGCAAGCCATCAAAGAATTTACAGATAAAAGGGATACTCATTTGGGAATCATGGGTGAAAGGTAGAGATTCTTGATTAAAAATCATATCGTTTGATCACTTGCCAAAGTTGCGACTCATCCATTTACAATAAATCTTTAGACATCAAAAAGAAGTCACCGAGAATGGAGAAAATAATTATCACCAATTAATCGAGGTAAATACTGATAAAGTTGACTTATAAAATTTAGAGCTAAATCCATGAATCGTCTATTTAGGATGTCGAATTGAGTCAAGCAACATGGCAGAGTCAACTAGAGGAACTTCAGAGAAGGCAAAAACGCGAATATTGTAACTTTGTTCTGAAACTCTATGAAGCGCATCAGCAGTGGATGTCAGAGCAAACAGCTGGTGTGGATTCTGCAGGGTTATATAAATTGGATGGAAAAGAGATTGTCTCGAAGGTAATTAATGAAATGAGAGAGCAAGAAAAGGGGCTTTCAAGAGAGCTTCTTCGACTTGGTCAAGAGAATACTGCTCGGAGTCGCCCAGGAAGCATAAGTTCGATGGCAGATATCATTCATTCCCCTATTATGTCACCAACTACATCTATGTTTGCTAGTCCTACGGAAGAAAAGAAACCAATGTTTTTTGCGGTAAGATGTTTCCTTCTCTTTCTCATGTGGTGGTTTGTTGTTATTAAAGTGAAATTCAAAATAAACTGTTTTCATAAATAGGAAGACGTCGTCGCAAAGATACGAGAATTAGGTTTCAGCAATGAACAGGCTAAAATGGCTCTTGAAATGACTAACCATAATATGGTATTTTCCATTAACTTCATTAGATTCAACTGATATTCTTTCGTTTAATTATAGTTGCATTAATAATTTTACTTCTTCAGGTTCAAGCGATAAACCTTCTGATAGAATCTGGAGAAAGGGTAGATTTACAAATAGCCAATGCACAAAATATGATGACACGCCGTCCTTCAATACCAGTTGTGACACCACCTCCTACACACAGGCGCTCAAAATCTCATAGTAGGCCTCTCGCGTTAACCGTGCTTACAAAACAAGAAAAGAAGAATGGGTGGTCGCCGATGTCATTCTTACAACAACAAAAACAGAATATGTTGGCTTCACAGAATAATAATTCATCCGTAAGAAAGATAAGCGGATGGCTTGGAAAGGCGATGAATCTGGGAAGCGAAGAAGGAAACGGGTGTGTATATTTATTTTAAATATATATTAACGGTGAGTTTAAGATAATCTATCTTGTATTAACTTGGACGGTCACGGTGTTAATTTGAACTTTCACCTTTTAAAGTCATGGATCATTACAGTTGGATGATCCTCAGCTTGTGGAATCCTTCACCATCTCGCTAGGCAATCAAGTCAAATCCACTCACAACTTGCGTTTACTGGCGTCTGACATGGATGATCTGTTAAAAACATCAAACGATCTTGCGCGAGATATGGCTTATAGGGCACAGACTGCGGCAAATTTGTATTCACAAAATTTGACAGCAATTGTCTTGTTGTTGACGCCTAGAGATTGGCCGAATTACAAGTTAGGGAAAAGTGCAAACAAAGGTACGTTGCAACCCGATCCATTGAGTTAAACTTTTTTTTTAGATATTTTTAGTGTACCTCTCATTAATAATATCATTAATAATAATCGAATTACGTGAATAGCGTTTTTTGAATGTTGTAAGGAATCCACGGAATTTCACTTTGATAATGTGGACTTACAATTTGAAGCGATTGAGAAAGATTATATGGTTGATGGAGAAATAACTCCGGTGCAAGAAGGTATTCCGCATCACATAACTGTTTTTCGTTCTCTATCAGGATGATCTAAACATATCTCCATCGATCCAATATCCGCGTGAATAGGCGATTTCTTTATCACAAGACATTCTAATTTACCATTGGTTCATGTGGTATTCCATCTGGTGATAGATTTTGAATGTAGGCTTACCATTTCTACAATACGATATTGTTTTTTGTCTTTAATTTGTTCACGCATATTCATTTATGACAATAATTCGAATAGCGATTCAAAAATCAGAGTTAACGCAGCGTTCAAAGGTGATTGCCGGGCTACGAAACATCTTGCGCACAGTGACGCGTTTCGACATTACAAGTATTTCGCTTCCATTTCTTTTACTTCCGTCAAACGTGGATTGCTTTTCGGATCCAACAATCAACGAGAATCTCTTGTATCGAAGAGGTGAGCTTGTACTTAAATGTACAAAAGGATTTATGATTGAAAATTCCAGATTACCTAAACGCATGGCCGAAAAGGAGCAAGAAACGAAAACTGTGTCATTTTTATTACCAAAAAGTGCGACAGAACAACAATTCAATAATCTCAGATTATTATTAACCGGAATATTTAGAGCGAGTTAGAGTCGGATTATTGGGAAGAATTTTTTTTTTGAGGCGACTTGAAAAGTAATAATTTGTGAATATTATTTCTAAAGCTAATTTTTTGTAGATTAGTATTTATTTTGCAAGACACTATTTAAATTTCTGATCTTATTCATAATTATATTAAAAAAAGCACGTCTGTATCAACAAGGGCAATTCTAACTGGAATGTAACACGTATTGGTACAACTTACAATAAATGAATTTACGTGAAGTCACGATCGTCATTTGCAAATCTCATTTAATGTTTTTAAGGTGTTCTAGATATTCTGTTCAGTGATTATCATTCGTGGACCACGCGAATTACAATATAATTTTTATAAAAACAATGTTGACTTGATGCCACGATTTTTCATCAATATTTAATTTAATGTTAAAATTAGCTGTATTACGTGATAAATGGCCAAAAAAAAAAAAATCGAATTTTTAAGAACGCTTCTTCGTTAATATAAATATAAAAATTCAAATATATATTTACAAGTAATAATAATATCATTTCATTGTCGGATTACTGAATTAACCATTCGATAATAAATAAATATTCCTAGTCACATAATCATAAAATCATCTTTCGTATTGAACGAAACTACAATAAAAGAAGAAAAACCTTGAGAAGACGCATTTGTTAGCAGAGCAGGTGTGAATTTTATTTTCCCCAGAAGATGTTAGAAAACGCTAAAAACTAGTTTGAAAACTAGTTTCGGGATACGTCCCGATACTTCATGACTCGAAATGACATACCCAAAAGAACGGCAATGATTGGCAGATCGCACAAACTAAAATTGATATAAACGGGATAAATTTTTTTTTTTTTTACTATACGTAAGTACGTACGTAGAGTTTAAATGATGAGTGCTAAAGAAGAAAGTCAATCGGAAGAAAACCTAAATCCTAACGTGAGATATTTGAAAATCGATCTTTAAAAATCATCCGTACTTAAATTGTATTTAAATAATGTTATCCTCCTCACTTTTTCTTATAGCAATACTTCGAAATTCGTTCAAAGTACATTCAAAAACTTCGCGAGACGCGCAGTCCAAATCCTTACCCGCATAAATTTCATGTGAATCTTTCAATTCCTGCATTTATTGAGAAATATGGTCATCTTGATCCTGGACAACACTTGGATGATGTGGTCCAAATCGCTGGTAGAATTCACAATAAAAGAGCCAGTGGTGCTAAACTGAGATTCTATGATTTGCATGGTGAAGGTGTCAAAATTCAAGTGATGGCACAGGCCCAGTGAGTTCTACGAAGCACATTTTCATTGCTAAAGTTTGAATATTATGCGAAACCTGTTTTCGATATCTCAACTGTCACATTAGGGATTCTGAACAAGATTTTGTCGAGACGCATGCAGTACTTCGTCGTGGTGATATTGTTGGTGTGCGCGGATGCCCGGGTAAATCTAAGCGAGGGGAATTGTCGATTTTCCCAAAGGAAATTAAGCTCCTGTCCCCCTGTCTACACATGTTGCCTAAAGCGCATTATGGATTTAAGGACCAGGAGTCTCGTTATCGTCAGCGCTACCTTGACTTAATAATGAACAATTTTGTTCGAGATAAGTTTCTTGTTAGAGCTAAGATTGTGAATTATGTCAGGCGTTTCCTGGACAATCTCGGCTTCCTTGAGGTAGGAATGATATTTTGCTCTGATATTTTAGTCGTCGATTATGCCTTTAAATAATGAAACTTTCTTTTAGGTTGAGACTCCTATGATGAATATGATTGCGGGTGGTGCAACCGCAAAACCATTTATAACTCATCACAATGATTTAAAACTCGATCTCTTCATGAGGGTGGCTCCTGAACTATACCTCAAGATGCTTGTAGTTGGTGGCCTTGATCGAGTTTATGAAATCGGGCGTCAATTTCGTAACGAATCTATCGACCTTACTCACAATCCCGAATTTACCACGTGCGAGTTCTATATGGCATATGCTGACATGTATGATCTAATGGAGATTACCGAAAGTATGCTATCCAGTATGGTTAAGTACATTACCGGTAACTACAAGGTTACCTATCATCCTCACGGTTCTGACGGTCCTACGATGGAAATTGATTTTACACCGCCCTTCAAGAGAGTCAGCATGATCGAGACGTTAGAAGAGAAACTAGGCGTCAAGTTTCCTCCAGCTTCTGAATTGCACACCGATGAAACGAATAAATTCTTGCAAGAACTCTGCAAAAAAAACGGAGTTGAGTGCTCGCCGCCAAGGACAAATGCAAGGCTATTAGATAAAGTATGACAAACTTAACATGTCATTACTCATTTTTAATTTGATCCGGCTAACGCGTGTATATACGTTAATCGAAATAGCTTGTTGGTGAATATATTGAAGTTGATTGCATATCGCCAACATTTATTACCGGTCACCCTCAGATGATGTCTCCTCTAGCTAAAAATCATCGGGAGATCGACGGTCTTTGCGAAAGATTTGAACTTTTTGTTGCAACCAAAGAAGTTTGTAATGCTTATACTGAATTGAATGATCCTTTTGATCAACGTGATCGATTTGAAGAACAAGCCCGTCAAAAAGAACAAGGAGATGATGAGGCCCAACTTATTGATGAAACTTTCTGTACCAGTTTAGAATATGGACTTCCGCCAACGTGAGTTTTCCGTGTTATGCAATGACATCTTGATTTCTCGCCTAACATTTTTAAATTATTAGTGGCGGTTGGGGAATGGGTATAGATCGTCTTACTATGTTTTTGACGGATAGCTCAAATATTAAGGAGGTTCGTTTTTTTTTTTTTCCATGTCTATCCTATTCAGAAATAAAGGATTTTCTAACTTTTCACACATTTTCCTATCTTCAGGTTCTTCTCTTCCCTGCTATGAAACCGATTGATGAAAAGCCCAAGGCTCCTGAGGCCATAACGAGTTAACTCTACAATACTATTTTTTTTAATGCTGATCTTGGAATCTGAAACTTATTCCTAGCCAGTCTATTAATAAATTGTCATAGTGACCATAATATTATAATTATGTGAATAAACTTTAATTTATAAATTACTAAGTCTTTTCATATGATATAACGTTAAGGCAACGATATTATCAATATATTAATTGTATTAATATTTCAAGAGATTTTTCATTATAGATTTTCTTATAAATTTTTCGATTAATTAAAAACAAAGGTTTTAAGAAATCTATTACATAATAATATATTTCTATTATCTAAATGCTTTTGGATATTTAATATCCAAATACTTCTGTTCTTTTCTTAATTTGTAATATATTTAACCCTATTTTCAAATAAATACATATAGATAATATGTTTTTTATAGAGAAATAATAATATTCTAACATTGGCAACATACTATATATGTTGTTTAAGAATTGATATGGGTTTGCCTAGCATGCTTTATTTAGTTCACATATGTATTTTATGTATTACAGAAATTACTATCTATAATCTATTCTAAACATATATTAGACTATATCAAATTATTTCTATATTGGTTTAATGCTAATTAATTCAATCCTAAAAGTATTAGATCAAGAGTTAACATATCAAGATATTGTTAATATTGTTATAATATTTTGAAGTTCTATTTTTAATTGAAAAAATCAAGATGTTGAATAAGAAAAACTGGAATAATATCTAATTGATAAATAAAACTTTATATGGGTTATTTTTCTGATCTATTTTATTTATAATTAAACTAACTATTTAATTTTTACTTTTTTAAAGTTGCTTAAAAAACATTAGTTATATATTTTTACAACTATTAACATTTACTGATATTTTGATTACTTTCTTAAAATAAGTAATTGTTAATACAATTTATTACTAAATTGAATAAAATCTTTTAAAAAGATATATAAATACTATAGAAAAGTAATTATCAAATTATTTAACTAAAAGCAAATATTGTATTACCTTTTTAAAATATTGTAATTCTAATATTTATTAAATTAATATAAAAAATGTTTTTATATAGAAATTAGTATTTGTAATTAAGGAAAACTAATATTTTATAAAAAACTCTTTCTGCTGATCCTTTTGCCAACCCAAAAAACAGATATTCTCAAAAGACTTTTTGTCTTTATAATAATAAAGTCTATATACTTTCTTTAACAACACTGATTCTCTAACCAGCAAAGTAAACAGAAGCTATCACTTGTTTTATTTTTCCTTTTCAAAATACTTTTCTTGTTTATTTTGATGACTAAATACAAGAAACCTATCTAAAAGGTCTATAGCAAAAATATCTTTTTAGGAAGAAAATTAACAAGAAAAAATACTCTTCAAAGACTCCCAAAAGACTCAAGAATCCAGAGAAACAAGAACAAAAAAGTCTTTAGTCTTTCCATCATCTCTTTGACTTCTTTTTTCTTTTTTCTCAAGTGTGTTTCTTTTTTTTTGATTTTTTGAAGAAATTTTGCCTACTTCAGTTTGATTCTGAATTTTTGATTATACTGGATCTCCTGAAAAATAATTGGTCAAGGCTATGAATTGATTGATCACGTCAGCCTCAGAAAAAATAAATAAGACATGTACTTCTTATGTATTCCCAGTCACGCAACACCAAACTGATGATATGATTGGTTCCTGAAAAAGTTGAATGGTTTTTGGTTGAAGGAGTAGTATGGGAGTATTGATAAAGTAAAAGTTGTAAGTAGAAGAGGAGTGACCCTTTTTTGTTCCTATTCTTTTATTTTCCTTTTTCTTTCCTATTCTTTTTTGAGGACAAGGAGTAGCAATAAGGTTTAGGTTTTATTTCAATCTGATAACAAGTTGAAGTACCAATATTTATCCCAAAAATGGTTAAATAAAGAGATTTTGAAACTATCTACTGGTTAAGTGAAGTAATAATTCCAGAAGACATAGCTTGGGAGAGCAATCAACAATAGAAAACCAATATTATTTCTAGTTAGAAATCTTTAAATATAAAGTTTCAAGAAATATTTTCTTGGGAGTATCCTTAAACATTTTTGAATATTGATTACTCCAATAGAAATTAAACAGTTTAACTGGTCACAGGTAATGAGAAGTGGGAAACCATAAGAGGCTTGGGTTTTAAGTTCACTGAGATAACCTTTTCAATGATAGTTAAAATAGATAATAGCTTTTTTTTTTTTCTTTTTGTCAAAAAATTTCATTTTTTATTCATTTTTTTTCTTGCGTAGTTTCTATAAAAAGGGGTGACACAATTTGGATTTATAGTCATAACTGTGAAGGTGATCTACAGATTTTGATCCTATCAGAAGTTTGGGATCTTAATCTTATCCTTTAGGGAAACAATTTATTACCACCATAAATCATATTTAGAGGCTTCAGCTGCAAACGGGTGAGTTGGGTCAAGAAAATTTATACTTTGCATGTATTCTTATATATGTAATGGTTCTTTATGATTTAATAAATAAACAACATTAACTGGGTTATGGAATTAAAAAAAAAAAAAAGTATTTATAATTAAGAATTACAATAGTTTAATTCAAATTAATTTTAACAAAAATTAAAACTAATTAGATCTATGGGTCTATAGCATAGTGGTAATGCTCTATAGGTCACCAGGAGAAGGTCTAGGGTTCAAACCCACCTGGTTACAAAAATTTATTACCTTCATAATTGGTTAACTGGCTTCAATACATGTCGTATCCAATCAGCTGAAAATCATCTATCAAATTAAGCTAGGTTACACAAAGATAGGACCTCTGGTCTTTCTAATGATCGCGGGCTAAAAACAAGTCGAAGCAGAAAAAGGTTGCACAAGACAAGGTTTCTGGTCTAACTCCGGTATAAGTCCACAACCTTAACTGGAACGGCAGACTCCGTATCACCACCCTTTTTATTCAGGTTGGCTAGCTTCCTGATATAGGTCATACTTAATCAGCTAGTACTTCAAAACTGAATCGGCAGACTCCGAAATTCGATTGAACTTCCACTTTTCTATTTAATGTTGGTGCAATCTGGATTGGTGACTCAATGTTTGAGAAGAGTCAGGTCACAAGTCAAAAAGAAAACTGCTAGGAAGATTTTTTACTATTGGTATAGGATTTTCCTTACCTTATATTTACAAATAGAAAGTCATAAGCATAAATCAGAATATGGATCCACCTACTTGGTATAAGTTGGTATTCTGATAAAAAGGACAAGTAGCGTGAATTAATATTAGCAATAGTTAATAGACTGTTCATATATAGTAATTGTGATCTTAATTGATTTAACAATAAAATCCATACGTATATTGCAACTTAGCCCTTTAAAAAAAAAAAAAAAAAAAATCAAAACTAATTTGATTTATTTTTTTTTAAATTAGTTTTAATTTTATAACTAATTACAAATCAAACTTATTTAATTTAATATTTTTAAAAACTAAACTGAATCAAATTAATTTTTATAAATATGATTTTTATTAAATTATTTTATTTTAAATTTAAATTTTATTATTATTATAGTTGTTAATTATTTAATTTAAATTTTTCAAATTTATATTTATATGGTTTAATTTTTTTAATTATTATATTTTCAATTAATTATTTAATTCAAATTAATATAGTTTATATTTTTAAAATAAAAAATAGATTTAAATAATATCAATTAATTTATTATATAAATAAAATATAAAGTTTATTATCAATTATAATTATTTTTTTCTAAATTTAAATACTATATTTATTAATATAATTTGTTTTATTTAATAAAATTTGATTATTCAAATTAATGGATTAATAGTATAGTAGTTAATATTCTATAGATCAAATCATAAAATATTAGTTAAATCTCAAGTAAAAACAATTAATTAAAATTAGTATAATATTAAATACTATAATCTATTAAATATTATTTCTTATAAGAAGTCAATTTATATATTGATTTAATAAATATTAAAATTTGACTATATATATGGACATATTGTTAATTATTATTATATATGATAATACAATTCCTAATTAAATATAATTTCTAATTAAAAAAAAAAAACTCTTTTTCATATACAACATTTTTCTTAAAAATTTTCTTTTATAATAATTTTCAAAATTAAAGAAAATATTTCTTTTGCTTTCCAATATCTACAAGTCCTCTACACCTCTTTAACTTTCAATATCAAAAACCTTAAGAAACTAAAAAAGCATACTAATGCATCAAGATGGGACCTCTGGTCAGGAGTAAGCAAGCTTAAGGAACTTGTCTTTTTCTTGAATTGCATGAGAAAAGACTTGTAGCAGTTGCTTCTTTACAAGTTTTTCTTGAGATTTTTCTCATTTATATTTTTTATTAAAACACCTTTTATTAATACATAAATACCTTTAAATATTTATATACTTTACTTAAAAGACTTTATTTCATTTCAAAATATAAACTTTTATATCAATTTTGTTTATATTACTAACCTGAAGAACCATTGGTATATATAAAAAACAATTTTTATCATCGCTCAATACATTTTACTGCGCCACAAAAAACAAAAATTCTTGTTCAAAAACTTTTTTTCTAAAAAACCACAATCAGTTTGCCTCTGGCAATTGATCAACATTCTATCTTCAACCAATTACACATTACCAAATATTCAAATGCATCCATTATACCTACCAAAGATCAATGTAAATGACATCAAAAATGGAAATCCATTTAATCACATAACCTTATTCTATTAATAAACATCAAAACAACAAACATATTCTATCAATCATCAATCAAAAAATAATAATACAGCTCTAACTTTGCAAATCAACAACCACCACACCTAAATCTATTATATTCAAACAATTATTCAACCAATTAATCACTACTACCATGTATTATCAACTATCAAGGATATATATTATTATCATAATTATATATTTTGGACAGTAGTCTGGCCAATTACAAACCAATTGAAACTATCAGAGTGGCATGCCGAATAAGCATCCTTAATAATATAATTAGTATGACTAC